CCCCATTCCTCTCCAAAGTTCAGGCAGGTCATGTAGGCAGGGACAGGCAGGGAATCCTTTCCAGCTGGGCAGGGCAGGTCAATGGAGGCATCTCAGCTCTGCTCAGGATTCCTGAGGCCTCAGGGACATTCAGCTTCTCCAGTGCACCCACAGACCCCCAGGAGCTGGGATTCCTCTTGCCTCAGCTCAGCTGCACTAAAGAGGTGTGAGATCCTTACCAAAGCTGCCGTGTTACTCATGGAGACAGCGGCCAGAAGCGACCTGCGAGCTCTGATGGAGCAATTGTGGGAGCCAGGGCAGCCCCTGGGGGCAGTATCTTGGAGGCTGGTGGGGAATCCCTTTGGCCAGCTGAAATGAGAGAAGATAATGCCGTTTAGCAGAAGAAAACCTTTCCCTCCTCAGTATGCTTAGGGCAGCTGATAGAGGTGTTCCTCTGGTCAAATTGAGCCATGTGCCACAGGGGGATCTCCGTCTGTCTTTCTCTTCTCCATCAGATTCCTACATCTCCATCAAGTGTAACCGATGTCTTCCCATGGACATCCCTACATGGCCTAGCCTCATCCAGGGCAGCTGTTCAACTAAAAGGCCAAATAGAGGCCTGTGGTGCTACCTCAGATGCCAAAACTGCCCAGCACAACCAGAGCGTACAGCTGGCTGGGCAGTGTAGGTCCTACAGGACAGCTATCCCCGTCCCAAGCTGGTACATAACAAACACCCCAGGGCATCTCAGACAGATCTGGAGTGCATGAGCAAGTGACCGAATGCCACCACTGCAGTGAGACAAAGTCTGTCCCATGTCTATGCTGTAGATGCAGGCAGTGCATGAATATGAGGCACATCACAACAGGGTCTCCACTTGTGTGCCCATGCTTTCAAATTATGCTGATTCTTCTTACCCCCTTCCATTTATTCACCTCCTTGATGAAACAATGAAGGAACAATGTACCTGAATCACACAATGTCCATAGCCAAGGACTTACTCAGCAGCACCTTGTCCTTCCTTGAGATGACCCTGACCTCCAATCACAGGCTCTCATGGACTGCAGAGACCCCACAGACAACAAAGCTCTCTCTTGTCAGAGGCTGCAAAGGCCAGCCCCGTCAGTCTCTTGCCTTTGGGAGCACAGGGCTTGCTCAACTTGTGGGGGTCTCATTTCATCTTTACATTGCCATCTGCCATTCACTCCAGCAGGTCTCCGGTCTGAAGCAAAGACTGTTTGCGCAGGATCCTGGGTGCAACATCTGTGACAAGTTGGAGCTTGGCATATGTACCACAGCTGAGGCCTCATCTGGAGTACTGTGTCCAGTTCTGGGCTCCCCACTTCAAGAAAGATGAAGAGCTACTGGAGAGAGTCCAGCGGAGGGCTACGAGGATGGTGAGGGGACTGGAGCATCTCCCCTACGAGGAGAGGTTGAGGGAACTGGGCTTGTTCAGCCTGAAGAAGAGAAGGCTGCGAGGGGACCTTAGAAATGCCTACAAATATCTGCAGGGTGGGTGTCAGGAGGATGGGGCCAAACTCTTTTCAGTGGTGCCCAGTGACAGGACAAGGGGCAATGGGCACAAACTGAGGCACAGGAAGTTCCGTCTGAACATGAGGAAGAACTTCTTCCCTCTGAGGGTGACGGAGCACTGGAACAGGCTGCCCAGGGAGGTTGTGGAGTCTCCTTCTCTGGAGATATTCAAGACCCACCTGGACAAGATCCTGTGCAGCCTGCTGTAGGTGACCCTGCTTCGGCAGGGGGGTTGGACTAGATGACCCACAGAGGTCCCTTCCAACCCCTACTATTCTGTGATTCTGTGATTCTGTGAGGTGCTGCAGCTCCAATGTGCATCAATGCCCTCCGCCTGGGCCATAGCTATGAGGTGCTGGAGCCCCGTGTGCGGTCACAGAGCTGTGACATTGATGTAATACCTCCTGCGGTGTGTGGGACAAGTCAGAAAGCTTCAGGTGCTCAATGGATGGATACAGACTCTTCAGAAGAGACAGCTGGGCAAGACCAGGAGGGGGATGCCCTCAGTGTAGGAGCTGCCTGGATGGATGGAGATCCTCTGTGCATTGGGCCGCAGATTGGGTGACCTCTTCTTGTGTGAGGGTCAGAGGACAAGCCAGTTATGGAGACATCATGGTAGGAGACATATTCCTGGAGTCAGGTGAGGAAGAGGATAAAGTCTTATTTTCTCAATTCCAGTTCAAAGACCTCTCATCATACTTGAGCACTTTAATCACCCTGACACTCATGGGAAGGGGACATTGCAGGGTGCAAGCAGACCCAGAGGTTTTGCAGGGTCCTTTAGGCCAGCTTCTTAGCAGAGCTGCCAAAAGTGCAAGCAGAGGTGATGTTCA